ACTGAAGAACTGGACATATTTTGTTTCTAGACTATGTACTTTCTAGGTAGTTACGCAGTTGCATATGTTAAATTACATTGAGCTGGTTTTGGATAAGTTTGCATGATAAGTCCTTTGTAAGTATATATATAAAAAAATAAATACAGCAGGATTTGCTGTTCCAGTAAAAATGAAATTATATTACATTTTCTGATTAAAGAGTTGTCATACCAATAGGAGGTATGAGAAATATATTCCAGTTGAGTGTGTAGAAAACCTCATTACTCTGTAAAAGTACTCTGCTTTATACAGTGATACAGTTCTACTCTTTTCTGCATCTTTATATCACTTACAGAATGGAAACCATTTATAAATCTAAGCCTGCACTCAGAGAAATGCCGTGTATTTTGAAATCACATCGATTCTCTCACCTAATTTTCAATGCACCTTTTTTTTTTTTTTTTTTTCTTTCTGAAACTTTTTGAGGTTATATTTTTAACCACTGATTTTTGTTTTTTCTGTTTTTGTAGTCTCAACCTTGTCATAAATCGGTCTGTAAGATCGATCTGCTGGGACTGTGCTTGCAGCACTCATCATAGTTCAGCCTTTAACATGAAATGTTTGATGTTACAGCTGAAATATACACATAGTACCAATAAGCTAAATGAATTATTTTTTTTTTTTTTTTCCTTCTGAAACTTTTTGAGGTTATAGTTTTAACCACTGATGTTTGCTGTTTCTGTTTTCAAACCTCGGCAACTCAGGAGTGGCAGGTTTACTAATTACTTTCCTATTTACTGAGAAAGATACAGGTAGCTAAATCTGTATGTGAGGTTTCTTTTTCCAGGCTTCTTCTCTCTAACTCCCAACAACATTACTGTAAGCTAGGGGTTTTCATTTATCTGTTTTTTTCTTATAGCTTATTTGTGTGTGAAGCCAGTGAGCGAAAATCAAGTCTGAGTAGTATGGTCTTACTGTTTATTAGAATGAGCAACTGTTCGAAGTAGAGATGACAGCAAAGTAGATGTCTACATAACTGTAGGTTACTAACTAGTTTCTCCAAAATAGCTTCTGATGATTAATCTGTTTTGTCTTGCCACACAAACCCAATACATACATGAATAAATCTAATCTTGGACAAAAAAGTCAAAGATCTTAAAGATGTCCATAGGAGACCTTTGGCCAGAGTGTCTTTTTCTTCTTACTTGCATTGAGATATTGTAAATACTTACTTAAAGGATGCTAAATTGAGAGAAGAATAGCTATGCTTTACTAAGTTTTTACTGATGTTTTGCCTATTTTTTCAAAGGAGTTAGAAATAGGTCATAATGATTAGAGAACAGCAACCATGTTCAAATCAAAGTGGTTTTCCTAGGAAAACCAGACCTCAGAGTTAAGCTTTTATTTCTGTTTATACTTTTTAAAGATCCATAAAAGGCTCAAAGGCAGAATTTTCTCATCAACACCTTTGGGTTCTTCTTAAAGCATTTGTCTTTTGAGGACAGTATGGTGTTCTTAACATTTGCAATGTTGGTAATTTTTGTGAGCCTTTTGTCATGCTGTAGTATCACTCTTCAGTGCCATCATCTTGTAAAAGGCTTGATCTCTTTCTTACTCTACTGTTGATTAAGTCTTTTAAAGATAAAAAGTGTTCTAGACTGTGCAAGCTCTTAATGTGTGAAATTCCAACACTATGTTCAGGTTTTGCACTTGCCAACTGAGAACCATGATATTAAAAGCCCATCTGTAGTCTGACCTGCTCACTGATTCTAGGATTTTGAGGTAGACAAGTGCTAAAAAGGGTTTTGAAAGCCTCAAGGAGTCTTCAGATTAATTTATGCTGGACTTCCTGCAGAACATAATCAACAAGTGTCTAACTGCATATGTGGTTCAGATTGCCTGCACCTAAACAAAAACTATATGGAAACGTTAGATGTTATTTTCACATCACTAATCAGTCATAGGTACATATACATGCTGTTCACGAACTGGTATACATTAACTAGTATTTGCTGACAAAAGCTCTTTGACTAATTCCTAATTTAACAAGATTGCTGACTGAATTTAAAGCACTGGTTATGCAAACAGAGCATGAAAAAGAGGTAGCTCCTGAATAGGATAAGTAGCAGAATCTTTACCTAGGCCTTCTTAGAAAACAAAGAAAAGATTAACTTGCTGTCTAAGCTTATTGCTTAGTAGTTTTCAGAATAATATTTTTAAATGTGCTGGGCCTTTGGGGCTTGCTTTTGAGTAATCGTTTCATGAGTTTGTGGGTGGAAAGTGTTGTTTATAAATGGCAATCAGGAAAGAGGGCAAAATTTCTGGCAAATGTTATCTAGTCATTCAAGAACAAAGTAGACTAAGCTCCTTTCAGCCCGATGCAACTTTATAGGACTAGTATAAATTCAGTCAGGGTACCTGTCTTTTTCTGACCTGGGAAGTAGACTTGGAAGTGCTAGGTTAATTGTTGGCTTTGATGATCTTAAAAAGTATTTTCCAACCAAATTTTTCCTATTATTCTATGTTTTGAATAGCCAACAAGAGGCAGAATTAGTACCTTGTCTGTTCAAATGTAAACTGACTAAGAGAAATTCTGAATTAACAAACATTATGAACCCATTCAGACTTGTTCGTTCTTGTTGTTTTCATTTCTCAGGATTGCTGTTGTTGTCACTTCTAAATTCCTCAGAGGGAGGGAATAAATGTCTCTGTTTAACCCTAGCAACCTCATTTATAAGACACTGATTTATTTCTTGTAAATTACTTGTCATTTTAATTATTCAGCAGTAAAACTGAGAAGTCTGCATAGGGCTACAATCAAACTGGGGTGGGGGGGGAGAGAGGAGGGAAGAGGGGCGGTGTTGGGGAAGGCAAGCTTGAAATATCTACCCACGACCCATACTAATGAGATTAGCTCCATCATTGCAGTTTTATGTGAAAATATTTGTTGATCATCCAAAGATGGGAAAATAAATTTCAGTTTCTGATCAACATGGTTGACAGTCCAGGTTGGACTTGGACATGCGAACAAATTACATATTCACTCACAGAATGAGTATGGTTCTTGAATTTTGCAAGAGGTATCTTAACATAAACTACTTGACTCTATAACAAGAGTGACTATAAGAGAATTTAGGAAATATTCCTTTCTAAATCATCAATTAATAACTATTTTTCTTGAAATTTTATGGTTAATACAGTATTGCCTGTTCAGTATCCTATAGATAGGCTCACACATATTGTAACCTTATGAGCCTATAAGTGGCAATATTAATTAATTTAAATCAGCTAATGATTTAATTTTGATGATCCAGTTTAATGCTGCAAAAGTGAAGTTGCTAAGGGTAATAATTTTAAAAGGTAGCTCATTCTAGTAAGTTAATACCTGTATATGGCACAGTATGCGTGGTGGAGTGAGGTGCAAAGTTAACTGAGTTGGTTGTCTGTAAAATTATCTGCAGGCAACCTTCAATTATGCAAGCTTCCAACTACTTTAAAGGAATGCTGTGAAGCCTAGAAATTACCATGACAGAAAGATGGACCAGCTGTTCCTTCTTCTCCCTGCGGACTCTTGTACAATGACTGTAGGAGAGTATATGAAACACTTTTGGATAAAAACTAATTCAAAAGTAAATCACTAGTATATCTGAAAAGGAAATGCAATTTTTCTGAACTATATTAAAATCTATCAAGAGTCAATAAAAACACTGAAGGTTTTTTTCTAGTTTTAAGATAACTGTATTTCATTTTAATAGCTGTTTTTGTTGTTGTTGTTGTTGTTGTTGTTATTATTATGCACCTTTCAAATTTTTCCAGCAACAGGAATGCAGATTGGTTTATCTTACAAGTCTAATACTATTCTTAGAATATGGTACCCACTGCGTTCAAACCTTACATAATTGAGCTGTTGTATTATTATTGTAAATTATCAGAATTACTCATGTACTCATAATTTTTTTAATAAAATATGTATACAATGAGATAAGTTTTATTTTACTGATAGTACTGCTTGGTATGCTGGACCAAAATATGTCCTCTGATGCTCCCCTTTTGATTATGTAAGCTGTTTTATAACTATTTAGTTGAAGTGAAAAATGTAATCAACTTCATCTATGAATCTTTCATTTTCAGCACTCCAAGATTATGGCTTTCATTTGAAACAATTTGTAAAATAAGAGGTTATCACCTGTGTCATGAATTATTTGGAAGTGCTAGCATTAGTTTTCTCAAAGGCTAGTACTTGCTGACACATATTCTTATTTTCAGTAAAGGTCTGAACCAGAAATACTGAACTGGGAAAATTTGAATTAAGAATATGCAACTATATAACAGGGGGGAAAAAAAAGAAAAATACAAACTTTTTTTTTTTTTCTCCTGTTTCTATTTTTTTTTTTTTCCAATTTCTTTTGAGTTGCAGACCTCATTGTATTTGTATGCTAAATTAATTGGTTATTATGAGCCTTTTGGTTAAAAAGTAGATATACAGTTTGTAATTGTGGAAATGTTCTAAATTCGTTACAAATTAAGTCTATTAGAGGTTATTTTTCTTTCCCAGGTGGTGTAAAATGAACATGAAGAAGTGAACTAGAGTAGGCACTCTCAGAATCAGTGGAAACACAGGATTGCTTTCTTCATGATTTCTTTATCTTATATGTCCATTTTAATATTTAAGAAAAATAAGTGAGGTTTGTTTAGTTCTGTAAAATGATTTTACTCTAAAATATTAAAAAAGTTAAAGAGCCCACTTATGGTTTATATACTTTTTTTTTTTTGTTTTCGTATTTATAATAACTCTTTGAAGGAAAAAAAGAAACTGATTACTTCTGTGTCTGTGCTAAAAAAATATTTCAGTGTTAAAAGACTTAAAACTTTAATTGTCCCCCCTAATGCAGTAAGATTTTTCCATCTTGTGCTTCTAGTGATGAGAACTGGGAAGGATGCACTGATTCTGGAAGCATGTGTTGAAGTCTAGACATCTGGTCATATCTTTTCAACTTGGTGTTCCTCTTATGGTTAACAGAGTGTCAGGATCCAGCCACCCCATGCCTCCCCACTGTGACATGGATTCCTGCAGCTCCGAGGAATTCTACCAGGCTGTTCATCATGCAGAGCAAACCTTCAGAAAGATGGAGAGCTACTTGAAGCAACAGCAGCTCTGTGACGTTATCCTGGTTGCTGGGAATCGCAAGATACCTGCACATAGGTAGGACATAAACATAAGATATTGAAACTACAAAAGTAAATGTTTTGGGTATGTTTATTTCTTAGAACAGTATTTTCTGTGGCCTCTTATCCCTGCTTCCCTCTTGCTTTAAACAAATGTAAGTGGCTGCAAATAATGATATTTGAAAGTTGGGCCTTTGAAAGTGGAGATATCTGTACAGATTTCAAAAGTTCAAGTAGAACTTAATAAAAAACTTACCATGAGCATACCAGACATTTTTCCCAGCTGTGATGCTGTTCATATGTGACGAGAAAGGAAATTTATGAAATGAGAGGCTGGACAGCTACACTGAACACAGTGTCATTTTTAGCTTAAGTTCATTACATGGCTCTCATACAGTCTCTCAGACACTTATAGTAGAGTAATACTGAGCACTGGCTTACCATGAATGTACCTTTGAATGGACTGAAAAAGATCTTACATAGTTTTAATGACAATAACTAGTATAAAAATTATAATGACATTACAATTTCAAAAATTCTAAAATATTATCTGGTATTACTGCAGCCAGCATATATGCAGCTGTGCTTGGTTCTGTATTGTAATGAGTTTTAAATAGCTATTTTTAATTAAGGATCCGATCTTAGCTATAGCCTTTGATTTAGTGCATGTAAACAAAAATCTAATCTTAGAGGTAGATTAAAATACAGAGAATACTTCTGAGTTTCCAGGTTAACGTTTTTGTGTTGCTTTTTTTTCATGTGAACTCTACATAAGACTCCAAATTAAGAGTGACCTGTTCTCTGTTTGGGCCCTGGTTTCTTTTCTGAGGTTGTAAGTTCAGAGTAGGAGTATGATTCCCCAGCAGGAAAACCGAAAAACAACGGATGTATTTCTGAACTCATCAACTAACTTTCTGGGATAAAGGAATACTGTAAGGTCATCTTGGTAGCTTGGACCTTATAAAGTTTCTTCTGTTTCTTCTAAGTGATGATAGAGACTATTCTTTTTCCAACTTTCATAATTTAAAAAAAAATGTGCAATATGGAAGACTGCGAAGCCAAATCTGTTGCTCAAATACCAAAAAATAAAACCAGACAGGAACTTTCATTAAATGCTTAAATTATCCCAATATTTGTAATAAATGAGGACATAACTCCTCTTAACAAGCACTAACAGATTGAGCTAGATAGTCTGCAACACACTTGAAACAGTTTGCTTGGTTTCAGATTAGTAGCTGTAATAAACATAGAAATCTTTCTCCTCTTCTTTCATCAATTTCTTTCTTAAGATTTTGTTTCTACTCTCCTATCTTCTAAGACCTGCCATTTTTCCTGTTCCTCCCTTGCCTTCCTATACTCAGATTCCCAGATGCCAGCTAAGTCCCCAGTAATTTCTACCCACTGACTTGGCAAGTAACACAATTCCTATGTTCCAGGCTTTTTGCCACTGTTAAATATATTATGAATCTGGCAATATATGCATCCCTGGTAGTTGTAATGTGATGTCATTTTTATCTAAATCATAAAGATCTTTCCTATGGGTATATCAATTACAGAGGGAACAATATTAAACTTCAGTCCTTCTGTCCATCTGCTTTACAGTTTAGCTAAGTCCCCAGTAATTTCTACCCACTGACTTGGCAAGTAACACAATTCCTATGTTCCAGGCTTTTTGCCACTGTTAAATATATTATGAATCTGGCAATATATGCATCCCTGGTAGTTGTAATGTGATGTCATTTTTATCTAAATCATAAAGATCTTTCCTATGGGTATATCAATTACAGAGGGAACAATATTAAACTTCAGTCCTGTCCATCTGCATTTACAGTGTTCCAGACCTGCAAGATTTGCCTTAAGGCAAATCAAAATGAAAACTAGAAAAATAATAACATAAGGACTTTCTAATTTGTGTCCAATTTTACATCTCTATACATTACTGAAATAAAGTAAAAAATTTCTTTCAGAAATAATGAGAACATTTTGTTCCTTCTTGGCAGTTACTTGGCCTATTTTTGCTTTTTGCATTTTTCAGCATAGATGAGGTAAAAAATAATTCAATGTCTGAATATACATTCTTAAACTGTCAGGAAAAAATACTTATTAGATGCCTATAAATATTCCACAATTGGTATAATTTACTCTGCTTAATATGAATGATACAAAGTATACGTTTTTTACAAGTATCTCTTATGTAATTTCAATTCTACCGTGTATGTAAATCCTGCTGGAGCTGGGAAAATACCATAATAGTAAGAATGACCATGAAATAATAGCCAAAATCTTGTTTAGATTTCCTAATAAACCTCCAGACAATTTTTTGTTTGATTTTCTACTTGATGGTGGTCTACAGTTGAAAGACCAAATCCCAAAGACCTGGCAAAAACAACTCTAGAAATATGTAGAATTGAAAATACAATGATCTGAATAAACTAGAATTTTGTTCAATAAGATAAGATGAAGAGTGTTCTGAATTCTCTGATTGTTTTTGTTTATTTAATAGCTTTAACTCTCTGTTGTTTTAGACAGGTATGGCTGGACAAGCACAGATGAAGCTAATTATTTTTATTGTGGCTTTTCTAATTCTAGAATATCATTTTATTTGGAAGAGACCTTCTATAATCTTATTAAACTCACTCCTTTTAAAGCAGGATAAAGTCCAAGGTTAGGCCACTGAGGGCCATACCCATATCATCACTTGTAGATGTTCCTTTCTTGGCAGCCTGTTTCAGTTTTGATTTTCCTCATTGTATGTAGTGATCCAGCATGTGGCTTCTACACAAATTTGTTCCATGGTCTTCTTGATGAGAAAACAAGTCTATAGTAAAACCACATACTCCTTCTTGAGGATGAACAAGGAAATGGACTTTTCCAGCCTTCAGAAACATTCTGCAATTTTTTATCATGACCTTACAAGGATGAAAGAGGGGCCTTTCAGTGACATTGTCGTGCTCCCTCAACCATCGCTTCCTGAACATACCTTCTCTCGTCCCAAGGACTATTATTGTGCATCCAATTTGCTTAACTGCAGCCAAAGTACATCTTCCTCTATTGTGAGTGATACCCCAAAAATCGTGCCACTAGACACAGAGACCTGCAAGTAGACCATGCAAAAAAACCCCAAAAACAAACAAACGCAACCAAACAAAAAGACTGAGCCAAATAAAGCTTTATTGAGCAGTGGACAAAAGTTTTCCATACTGTTCCTTTTGCTGCCAAGGTAATTACAGGAACCCTTCTTTCCCACCACTTGCTAACATCATCTGCACCTGATCTTTCGGTCTACCTAATTCCATTTTTTTCATGTTGGGGCAATGTCTCTGTATTTCTCCCAGGTAATTTGTCCCTCCTTCCACCGTCTGTGTACTCCCTTTTTGCATTTCACTTCAATCAAGGGTCACTTCAGACATGTAGAGTTGTAATTTGCTACTAATTTTACTAACTCCTCTCAGGATCTGTTATCTTAAATTCTGTTATCTCATGACAGTTTTAGCCATGTTTACCATTAGATTTCACAGGTCCTTTTCTTTTTCAGTGTTTTTCAAGTTTTTTACAAAGAAGGCTAGATAATATTTGTTTTGCATTCTTGAGAACATACAGAAAGCCTGCTTGATAGGGCAATGCAAGTTCAATATTTGTGGAGCTTTAAAATTTGATACTTCATGATAGGTAGATGGAACATTCCCTGCATAAAGTTTTTTTTAAAATATCCTAGATAAAATAAACCGTCATTTTAAAATTCAATTAAAACTTATATATTAAGCCATAGCTTATACTGAATATGTTAAAAATTAATAAATACAAAATGCTAACATTATTGTATAAAAATAAGGGTTTTCACATATGAATATTGTATATTATATATTTTTTTAAATGCAATACATTTAATTTGCTACAATATAGTAAAAAAAAAAATCACTTTCAGAAAACCAGGACAAAGCTTTCTATATTTTTCAATAAAAAGTATAAGAATTACATTTTTCTTTGTATTTCTCTGAATCAGAACAAATCAAAACAAAAAAGTGTAAAAAACAAGTACAAAAAAATGTGTTACGTGATAGTGTAGTGTCAGCATATCTATTTCTATAAAAGTAAAAACTCAGTGAAGAAATGCCAGTATATTGCATGAAATGAAGTGAAATATACCAGAAATAATTTCACTGCCATTATTTCTTTTGCATCTCCTTAGACCCCTCCACCCTTCATAATCTCTATCTTATTTGTGGTTTCATTCCTTATAATACTTGCTCTTTTCCCCCTCTTATCCAATCACATATCTTGATTATGTCCTTTGATGATCTATTTAAATAATTTTCCTCTAGAGAAGTTATTGTTGTGCCTCAAGATCTCTAAAACCTGATACTTTCATAAGGAAGAATATCAGATAAGCTCTGGTCACTGCCTGAATACTGCCAAGTTACTCTTTTGTCACTGGTGTTGATTTCTTGCTATTGGGCTTTTAAAATGGTTTTCTTTCTCACCAAAAAATGGGAGAAAATCAAATTAGAGAAGAGATCATAGAACATGATCATTGAGCTTTAGTTCCCCACTTGGAGACACCATGCTAAAATCCCAGTCTTATAGATGTTTTTAGTGTTCGGGTGACTCAAACAGTTTTAAAGGTATAATGTGCTTAAACATTTTGTTGGCTCCTGAACATCAAGTTTTGGAATGTAATCTTCCATTAAACAGGTTACAGGTGTAATCTTTCACATGAAGGAATAGCAAAAGGATGTACAAACCAGCAAAGTATTTTAATAATTAACAAGAAAGCAAAAAGGGTACGGAGAAAGTAGGAAGACCCCTGTAGCAGGCATTTCAGAGGGGTAAAGGAGTTGACATTTAGATATATTTGAAGAATTAAGGAAACCTAATTATTTTTGCTATACTCCTATAACACGTATGTAATGATCAAATGTAAAAATGTAAAATACCTTAAAGAGAGAGCTATGCTAAAATAGGCACTGTTAACACTTCATCCTAATTTCAAAATACTATGAACACAGTTTGTGGTTTCTTCATTCACTCTGCGGATGC